ATATATAGTTACATTCTCTTAATGAATAGAGGGATTTGTTCTAATAGTGTTTGTAAATAGGATATCATGTCCGCATCTTGTACAGCAATTAACAATTAGGAAGAATGTATGCAATGTGTCTATTGAAACTGCCCTACCAATTTGGGTTTTGTTTTTGTTTTTTGTTTTTTTGGCCTACCAATTCGATTTGAAACTGTCTCATTGCTATTTGTTTCTCAATAAAATTATGGAAAAAGCAAACAAACAAAAGAAGTAAAAACTTCAAAAAGATTTAAAACACTAGTTTTTTTTTAAAGCAATACAACAACATATCATTTCAAGCAACTTCCTCCCCTATTGTAGCCCTAGTGATCTTGTTTTCAAATGAGCTGTCCTGCCTGCCTTGTTCCTTCCTGACCACAAATGCACAGAATTTGAATAAAATAAAAGAGATCTTCACCTTAAGATGCAATATGTAAGTCCGCAAAGAGTGGATCCCACATTTACACATAGTGCTGCGGTCACTTTTTCTCCTGCTCTAAGTCATCCACAGACAGTCCTCTGATCCACCTCTCTATCTGGGTGTGAGGAGCACCTCTTCTTTATGACTACATTGCTCCTTTATCTGTTTTTTGAGGCAGGATCTCACTTTGCAAAGTTCAGGCTCATCTTGAACTCACTCCATTGTTCAGTCTATCCTCAAACTTCCAATGATCCTCCTAACTCAGCCTCTTGAGTGCTGAAATCACGTCTGTGCCACCATACCCACCATTTATGACATTTCTAATCAAAGACTACAATTATTTAATTAAGTCAAATTTTCTAAGAAAGACCTTCCTCTTCCCCAAGTTTTATTTTATTTTTTTAAACAGTTATAAAATATACCTTTATTTACTTTGAGTCAAAGGGTCGTAAAAAAAATTATTGCTAAGGTAGATATCAGGCAAACAGAAAGGTGCTTTAGAAATTCAGTTACCTTGGATTTATTTAAACTAAGAGGAAAAGGTCATCATGTTTTCATGCAATACATACTTGGTTCTTTAACAATTGTGACAAGGAGCAGAAAGAATTAAGGAATGTTGCACTTGTGATCCATACAAAGCACCAACATTTTGGGTTGTACATAATTAAAGAAATACCTCACTTTTGAAATACTGTGATAGCCAATACATAGAGGCATGCCTTAGGTGGGCATAGGAATGCAGCTTAGAAAACAACAACCAAAAAAAAATCACACTGGAAGTATACAATTTCTTTAAAATCACTGAGCAAGAAAAGCAACATTGAACTTTCACACTGATTTTACACAACTTCTATACAGTACCTTGACATAAATCTAAGAGCAAAAAGTTAAGACTTTCCTCCTCTATTTTTGGTAAACAACTGTATGGTAAACTTAGATGACTTATCCCCCTGGTTTTTACCTGGGAGTGGCCTTTTTAATATTTTATTTAAAAGAGGGCAAGTTTGACACTTTTATACTAATGTCACCAATGTTAATATTTCTCGGGATCTCGGGAAGATTCATATTCTTTACAGTGGATACAGCACAGGCTGGAGCTCCTGCTAAGCCAGCCTCAGATTTCCCTAGTTTATTTTGTGCATCAATTTGTGTAATAATTTCATTCATATTGGTCTCCAATACCATTCCCCCATCGCCATTTCTACAAGAATATTGTGAACCTTGTCTACATGGAAAATTAAATCCAGTTCACAGACATTTTCAAAACATTTGTCTAATGTTTCCACAAATACTTGAATTAGATCTAAAATGCCAAGTTCACTTTCTGAAGAATCCACACAGAGGGCAAAATATAGTGTCGCATAATGTCTATAAATCAGTTTGTTGTCAGATCCTCCAATTAATAATCCTCCTTCCAGGAAATTTCAAACATTTTCGTCTCTCTTAGATACCAAATGTAAAGTCTCCCTGATGATTTGTTGTTGTGTATCTTCACTGTAGGGCTGGTAGAACTTGGAAAGCCGCGACTTCCCGTGGTTGTTGAAAATGAGGATCGCCTTGATCTTGTCTGGGCCGGCTGGGGGTGGGCACTGGGGGCCGGGGTGGGGGCCCCGGGCACGCCTGCCGCACCTTGGGATCTCGTGGGCAAGCCTTCCCCACCCGCCCCTCCCGCAAGCGCAGGCGTGCGCCCCGAGCTTCCCCAAGTTTTACAGCCTCTCTTCCAAACCAAACAAAAATAAGAAATGTCTTCTAGGAACTTCTACAAGAACCTACACTCCTTGCTGGACATGGTATTTTAGTGTTACCTGTAATCCCAGCACTCAGTAGGTTGAGACAAGAGTATTGCCAAGAGTTCATGGCCAGCCTGAGCTATACAGCAGGATTCAAGACCAACCTGAACCACATAATGTGGTCTTGTCTCAAAAACAAACCAAACTAAACCAATCAATAAAATGCCTCACAGAGCCAGGTAAGGTGGCACATACCTATACATAATATCCCAGCACTCTGGGAGGCTGAGGCAGCACGACGATAAATTCAAGCCCAGCCAGGGCAACTCTGTGAGACCCTGTCTCAAAATAAAAAGTCTGTAGCCCCCTGTGATAGGCCTGTACCAATAAATAAACAAATGAATAAATAACTCATGGAGACCAAAATAAGTAACAACTATTGTAACTGAATTATTACAACTTTTAAGTTTCCCAAACAAACATTCATTAGAGAGGGAGAAAGGTGGCAGAGGAGAGAATACAGGCTGATCAGACGACTGGCTGAAGTCCCACACTGAATGGCTCTGCCACTTTTACTACTACCAAATGACTAAGTAATTTAAGGTTTCTTTGGGTCTGGATTTTCTCATCTGTCCTATGAATATAAGACCTATTTTGCCTCCTCTACAGATCAAATCAAATAATACAGCTGGATGTGAACTAAGCAAAAGTATGCAAATGGAAGTCATCACTGCTTTCGGTATCACATCAGCAAAGAAATGGGAGACTGAGACAGACAGAATCACCAAGAGTTCAAGGCCACCCTGGATAAACAGTGTTTGTGTCAAACAAACAACTAAAACAAAAAGATGGTGAAACTGTGAGATGGATAACCACCTCAAGTCCTTGTTTCCAAGTCAAAGCAGATTTAAGGAGAAATTTTAGTAGCCCTACATGGGTTAGCAGACTGCAAATAAATGCACAAGTTCTAGGCAGTGAGGTGATTGTCTTACAAGCTGTATCATCAACTAAACAGAAGGTTCTGTGACTTCGAGGCCTCAGGTAATCTGTTTGACCCACAAAGGCTCATTCTACTGATACTCTAAGGAAACTTAAGATTGTGGGAATTCCAATAAGAGATAACTGAGTTTCACTGAGATAAACAAAACTGAATTGCTAGATAGACAATGGTTGAAATCTGTGGACATTTTTGGTTTACTTGATTAAAAATGCCTTCAATGAATATCTAACTCATTCAAATGTTTCCCTTAATTGACTTCTAGAAAAGGGAAAAGGCACAGACTTTATGCCTTGAAATAAGGGTCTCATTATCATCAGTGTTTTGGATTTAACCTTCTTTATTCTAGTAGTATTATGGATGAAATAAATGATTTTGTTTTTCCTATTGTGTTTCTAGATTTTTAAAAAAAGGAAATAGAAATGAAAACAAGAAATGAGTAGAGGAAAGGGAGGAACTTTAAAGAAGCAAATTAAACAACTTAAGTGGCTTACTTTCAATTAAAATTTAGTTCAATATACTTGCCACAACTAGAGGACACTGGACTAGCATCTCAGTTCCAACTGCTGCTCACAAGACGAGCACAGCATAGCTGCATGACACTGAAGCTGGCTCTTGAAGGTGATTATCTGTAACTAGTTAACTCAGCAAATGAAAAAAGTGCCAAGTATGCAGAACTTATCTTTTAAATTCCCTGTTTAAGGTGCTGCTTTATAAGACAAAAATTAATTCACATGTATCAAGATAATACAGGAGGGCCAGAGAAATAGCTCAGTAGAATAAGCGCTTGCCTGGCAAGTACAAGGGCCTGAGTTCAATCCCCAGTTGCTTATAAAAAAAAAAAAAAGATAATACTGGACACTATATAAATAAACACATATATAAAAACACAAAAGTTGGCCCAGCAAAATAGCTCAGTGGACTAAACACCTGCTTAGGCAAACACAAGGACCAGAGTTTGATCCCCAGCACCACACACTGGCCCCACCCCTGGGTACACTGAGCCGGCCATTAAGTATGGCATGGTGGCACATGCCTGTAAACCCAGTGCTGGGAGGCTGAAAACAGGAGGATCATTACGAGTCCAAGCTGCATTGTAAGACCCTATACAAAATATATTTTTTTAAAAAATTAGTATTCCAGAATCTAGCTTTAGAACATCTTACTACTATTAATTATGCCTTATTAGATTTGCTATCTTCTGGCTTAACTAATAATATTAAAGCTACTAACTGAAGAAATTAATCTCAAGCTCACCAAAGACACACACCAAGACTCCTAATTACTAAGCATCTATGTGATCCAGTTCAAGCAAAGAATCTTCTGATTTGATTAAATGGAGTATACTGTACTTCTGTCTACTTCAGTATCAATTCATGGGAGAATGTTTTATAAACAAAATTCATTAACATTTTTATATCACAATTTTGTAAATAGAGTTTATGCTGATAACAGGTTTAGAAAAACATTCATGGATAATTTTTCCATTCCATTCTAGTGGCTGAATCTTTTAAATCACCTTAAAAAGAAAGCAAAACACGTGGCAGCAAAGTTCTACCCTCATGACAAGTGCACATGTGTAACAGAAACACACATGTGATTCAGTATATAATCATGAAACGCATGTATCTTGAATTATAGCATTGCTCTAGGTCAGTGATGGCCAACCTTTTAGAGAACAGTGTCCAAATTATGGACACTGTTTTATAAGCCCACTCATTTATCACACATTGCCCAATACTGCAATTAAACCTGAACACTGAGAGGTTTTAGTGTAGCAAAAACTCATTCATTGACATCTTTGTCTGTAAAGAAAAGCCATAGGTTTGCCGCCACTACACTTGGGGCTGCATGAGGCTCAAGTCAGCTCTACCAAGAGGCAGTGTGGAGATGTGCTCTTCTGAACGGCCAGCAACAAGAAATGGCTAATTTCTCTAAAAGCTGGTCTATTTTATCCCACTTCGTCTCTCTCCATGGACCTTTCATGCTGCTATTAGGGAAGATCTATCTGGAAGTGGAACTGACTTCTCAACTTACTGAAGACTGCTTCAGAAGGGAGGAACTAGAGACATGATAATGAAAGCAAACTACCTGACGATTATCTGGACATCAGTATTTGTTCTGATTTTATAAACGTCTTTTAAGATATGCACAACTAGCAGCATCAGTTTCATAGTAACACTTAATTTGCAAAATTGTTTAAACTACTACAATAATCTTCCAAAACTATGCCATGACTGTGGTAACTTACACGTGAGTGTGACTCATACAATACATTTCAGATAGTGCATGTGCATCAGAAGCAGGAGAAAAATCACTACTGACAATGCAAAGAATGAACGGTTTCATGCAAAGGTGAGGACTGAAGAATGGACACATTTCCCAGATTTTTAAAAACTGATCTCCAATTTATTCTCTCAAGAAAATATATCATAGAGGATTTGATTCACTGATAATATTACAGAAATCTTTACTTTTATAATAAAAAGCAACTTTCTGAAAGTTATTTCTACTCCATTTCTCAAAACCAGAAAAGTCTATCCCAACAAATATGTCACCAGCTGCACGTCAGTGCCCTACTGCCACTCCCATTTTCTGTCCTGTTACCACTTCTGTGCTTCCTTCTTTCTTTTCCCCTTGCCTGCTTCCCAACCTTATCCACGACGCTGAAAGGTTTAAGATCCAACTGTGAAGACTTAGGCGCTGCTGGGCAAAGTGAGCACAGTGAGTGTCTTCAAAACCTTGATCACGGGGCTGGTGAGATGGCTCAGTGGTCTAAAGCACCTACTTAGAACAAGCTTGGCCAAAGCACAGGGACCACGGTTCGATCCCCCAGCACCACATGCCAGCCAGCCCTGCCCCCTGGTGGGCTGAGCTGGCCACACACGG